AGAAGAAGAAGAAGAAGAAGAAGAAGAAGAAGAAGAAGAAGAAGAAGAAGAAGAAGAAGAAGAAGAAGAAGAAGAAGAAGAAGAAGAAGAAGAAGAAGAAGAAGAAGAAGAAGAAGAAGAAGAAGAAGAAGAAGAAGAAGAAGAAGAAGAAGAAGAAGAAGAAGAAGAAGAAGAAGAAGAAGAAGAAGAAGAAGAAGAAGAAGAAGAAGAAGAAGAAGAAGAAGAAGAAGAAGAAGAAGAAGAAGAAGAAGAAGAAGAAGAAGAAGAAGAAGAAGAAGACGAAGAAGAAGAAGAAGAAGAAGAAGAAGAAGAAGAAGAAGAAGAAGAAGAAGAAGAAGAAGAAGAAGAAGAAGAAGAAGAAGAAGAAGAAGAAGAAGAGAGAGAGAGAGAGAGAGAGAGAGAGAGAGAGAGAGAGAGAGAGAGAGAGAGAGAGAGAGAGAGAGAGAGAGAGAGAGAGAGAGAGTTAGTGAGAGAGAGAGAGAGGCAAACGGGCCAATACGGAAGACAAGATGAGGAGTGTGCAAATGACCTATCCAGTATGGGCTCATCCACACACGGCTCCGTTGTTGGTACATGCAATCGTATCAAGGACAATAAGCACCTGATATATATATATATATATGTATGTATATACATATATATAAAAACAAAGAGGCGTACTCACAGTCCGTGCCTTTTCTGCGACCCGTTGCACAGATACACCGGAGATCGGGATGGGTGAGCGGCACATTTCCTACGAATACGCGATCACAGACGAGCTCGTAACAAGGATGCACGGGCGACTACGCGCGGCATTTCCATGGTGGAGTTCATGGTGCGAAAGCAACTTCATACTCTAGTTAATCATACACGGCTACTGGATGCCGTGGAAACTTGCCTCCTTGGTGCTGTTCCAGCAGGACAACCATGCGGGCGCACAGATCCACGCCCAGTTCACCAAACAGGCTATTAGCGAGCTCCTGGAAAGCGGCGTTGCGGCTCTCGCTCCTGCGGATCAATCTGTATGCATTAGCCCACTGAACGTGGTGGTCCCGAGAGAGAAATGCCGACTGATCCTCGACCTCCGCCAAGTGAACCTGCACTTGCGCATTCCAAAATTCAAATACGAGGGTCTCAACCGGGTTGCGGAGATCGCTCGCCCGGGCGATTGGATGTTCTCCATCGACCTGAAGTCTGGGTATCACCACGTGGATATTCACCCATTGTGCTGGAAGTACCTGGGATTTCGATTCGACCGGAAGACATACATATTCCGCTCGCTCCCCTTCGGCCTCGCGACAGCCCCATTCGTTTTCACACAACTGATCAAACAACTCGCCCGGCGCTGGCGAGCCATGGGCATACGGGTCATTCCTTATGTGGACGACATCCTTTTCCTTTGTGACACGGAAGCAGCGGCACGAGCCACATGTCACTCAATCATACATGACCTCAACAGGGCAGGCCTTGTGATCAACTCGAAAAAGTCGCAGCTAAAGCCAACCCAGCAGCTGCGTTTTCTCGGAGTCGAGTTAGACACTGATCGTGGTCAGTTTTTGATTGGCGCTGAACGACGGGCCTCACTACTCTCCACCATCCAAGACCTACAAAGGGTAGGAAAGGCAAGACGCAAGGTCCCAGTTCGTCACATTGCCAGAGTCACCGGCATGATAGCATCCATGTCACTGGCCCTTGGGGCGACGATGCGAGCATTCAGTCAAGGCCTGCTGCACGCAATTCAGCAGGCACCATCATGGAACAACAAGGTGCCGCTTGACCCCACGGCCATCGAAGAGCTGGATTTTTGGTGCCATGAATTCGACAAATTTAATGGCGCCCCGTTCCACGTCCCCAACAGCTATGATGCCGTGATCCACGTGGATGCCAGCGCACACAGCTGGGGAGCGACGCTGGACAAGTTCCCAGGTCGGCGTCTCGAGGCTAGTGCGGCGATGCCACGGCACCTGCTGGAGGCATCCAGCACGCAACGGGAGATTGATGGTGTACTCTGGGCGCTCAAAATGTTTGCGGAACGGATTTGTGACCAGCACGTCATCGCAAGGACCGATAACCAAGGCGTTTTCTTCATCCTCAGGAAGGGTGGTTCGAGGCACGACAACCTCACAACGACATGCAAGTCGATCATTCAGATATGTACGACCTTTCGGATTCGGCTCATGGTTGAATGGATACCGCGCGAGCTAAATACACGAGCGGATGAACTGTCCAAGTCGCTCGATCGGGACGATAACTCCCTGAAGACACCTTGGTTCCTCCTCATCGAGCGTCGTTTGGGCCCAGATTCAATCGATCTTTTTGCAAATGGGAGCAATGCCAAGCTACCCCGGTTTTGCTCCAAAACACCGCACCCAGATGCAGCAGCGGTCGATGCGTTCTCCATCCCTTGGACATCCGAGCGGGGATATGCATTCCCACCACCCCACCTAATCCCGGCAGTACTCCACCATGCGAAACGAACTCACGCCACCTTCACTCTCATCGCACCCCGCTGGGCTGGTGCAAGCTGGTGGCCCCTACTGCAACCCTCTCCCCCTCAATGGGCCCCCTACATTCACACCCACATTCCCCTCACGCACGGTAGCCAGTGCCTGACGGCAGGCAATCACTCCAGCGCCTTTTCTGGCGACGGTCTACCATGCAGTCCCATGGTTGCACTACGCGTGTCTTTCGCCTGCTAACCACGCTCGCACCTGATGCAGGATTGCTGGAAAAACTCAAACATCGGCTACTAGAGATCACCACCCAAACGCGGGCTGACTCAACAATCCGGACGTACGAGCCCTACTGGGTCAAGTTCCGATCCTTTTGCCAACAACACAAGCTCAAATTCCTCCCATGCACCGACATGACACTCGCACTGTACCTGGTCCACGCCATCCAGCAGAAGGCTACGGTTTCCGCAATACAGTTGACATGCTCGGCAGTCAGCTTCGCACATCGGTCGATCGGTGCATCATGCCCGTCCACTGGTCCATTCACCTTACAAGTCCGGTAATTCGCGAAGAAGCAATGCCCGCATCCTACCCGGGCCAAAGAACCTGTGTCACTACATCAAGTGCATGCGATGGCATCGGAATTTCTACAATCGGACAACCCTCGCGAATTTCAAAAGGGCCTAATTCCGGCCTTAATGTACGCCGGGTTCCTGCGCTACTCCGACCTCGCAGTCATCAACTGGCAGGAGATTCATTTCGAGACAGAAGTCATGTGGCTCCTAATTCCCCGCTCCAGGACGGACCAGGCAGGAGAAGGCATCTGGGTCCCGGTAGCTGCAAGCCCGGGCCCTTTTTGCCCCGTTCATTGCACCCAACAATTCATACACCTGGCGAAATATGACCAATTGAAACGAGGTCCGCTCATCCGCGTTTTGGAACAGAGGGCGGGGAAGGCGGGATCACCAAGCCACCATCCTACACTACAATTCGCAACTGGTGCAAAGAGGCCTTTAATAAAATCGGTCTTAGCTTCGAGCACCTCGGAACCCACTCCTTCCGGAAAGGTGCAGCGACCGTCGCAGCCAACGCCGGCATACCTGACCGAATCCTGAAGCAATTAGGACGATGGAGAAGCGACACTGCAAAGGAGACGTACATCACGCCTGCCGCAGACCAACTGGTGGGAGCATCGAGGCACGTCCAAGACCCAGCGAGATCCCTCACCCCTGCGCAACACGCCACGTCGCTGTCGCACCAACGGCGACCGACACGACACATGTCTCAGAAGACCCATTTGAAATGAGACGATGCCATTGCTACAATAAGAAAGCAAGCCTTCTAAATATGAATATTTTTAAAAGCTGTAACGCTTTTCAAAATTGTGTATTTTGAAAGCGAAGCGACCTGTAATGTAGCAATGGTCATCGGCGAACCGCGCTAAACGCCCGTTTTGGAGTACAAAACGTGGGCTGGAGGTCATTTCCCTCCACCCACGTCTCTCATTTTTCAAACAGTTTAGTCAAGTTTCCCGCTTACCCACCCCTTAGAATAGTGAATAATAGTTGATTGTGTTACTAGAATTATCCTATGCTAGCTTTCTAAATACACTAAATTCATGTGCTTCGTTGCTGCTAACTGCTCTGGCAGTAACGGCCTTCATTTCCCTGCCTGACAATCTGGGGATTTCTCTAATGCCGCCAATTCGAGGTCAGCCAATCAGCGCCCTTGCGTCAGTTTTCCCACGTTGCTCCCTCCATCAAGATCACCTCCAAAGTCCGCGGATAGCTTGCACTTGGCGGAGGACAGAATCAGAGGAGGGCGGAGAGCTTGGCGCGCTTCTTCCGCTGCCCCGCGCACATCACGTCCGCTTACTACCCACCCTGACATTCTCGCTCCTCGAGAAAGGAACACAGAACGACAGTCGCAGTGAACACACAACGAATCGACCAACCAGCAGAGTCATCTGCGATCAGGCAACTGGTGGCGGTCCTGAAGTGGCGAACTCTTGCCGGTGCACGTCGTAGCGCGTCGATGCGAAGACGGTGTTGCCGACCCGCCATCTAGTCTCTGTGGAAGGGACATATTATCGTCATCGCAGATCTGGCCGGCTAAGTTATTGAGCTATCGTCGCAGGATCTTCGTCAGCCAAACCAATCTGTCGCTTGTCGTCGCAATGGTAGCGTCTGACCTCTCCGCGTCGCCGGCGCAGCCAGCGCAGTCGCACATTCCGCTTACCGTCGCAACAAATGGAGCTGCGTCCATCGACGAGCAGTACTTAGAGGTAGCGCCGCGTCATTGCCGACGCATGTGGTGTAGGTGATATTTAGCTCGACTCAATAGTCATGCGGTCGATCCTGATCTGCGAAATGCCATTCTGCTTCAAGCTTCGAAGCTTCGTTTGAAGTTATTACCTCCATAGCGTAGTGCTCGCTCCTGTATCCCTTAGTTTCCTAGAGTTGCGACGCTCTTCATCTCTTCTTTCTTCCTCCGTTTTTTCGCACGCGTGCCCTCTTTCGTTCCGTTCAGTCACAAGCTCGTCGCTGGTTGTCGCAGACTCTGTCGCGAATGCTTCCCGCCGATAAGCCGTTGAGCGATCTGCTAGGGGATGGCGAAATACTGTGAGTCCTCATTGCCTCTAGTCGTCGATGCCTGTAGTAGTTGTCGATGCCTCTACTTCTCAATGCCTCGAGACGATGCTTCTTAGCCTATTGAATCCCGGATGGCTTTCACATGGACCCTATTGCGCGGTGCCCTCTTCGTTCGTTGCTTCTACCCGCGTATTCACAATGTTACTTCGTCATCTTCCCCTCGTCTCCCTTGGTAGCCGTTATTCTCACCCACCCAGTAATCAGCTTCCGTTCCACTGGAATCCACGTCTCACGCACTCGAGCCTCGCTCTGCCGCTTCTGAAACGTCCCATTCCCCTCTCCCGCTTCTCGTCCCCCCCCACTTTCGCTCCGCCTCCCCCTTTATCCAGCCTCGAGCTCGCCTGTTTGGTGCAGCAGTTGCTTGCGCCCGACGCCCCCCCTTCCGCCAGTGTCCCCCTGACTCCGAACTTTGACTCCGCCCCGCCTGCAAAACCTCCCGCCGCCGCCACTGCCGAGAGTGGTGCCGCTGTTGCCGCCGCCGCTGCGGCTGCTGATGTTGCTGACAGTGCTGCTGAGGGTGGTGTTGGTGTTAGTGCTCGTGGTGACAGCAGCAGCAGCAGCGCGAACGGGGGCTGTTCCAGTGAGGAGAGTGGTGGGTCGGGCTTTAAGCGCGCGTACTGGCACGCGTGCACCAACGTGGAACGATTTCTCAAGGTGAGCGATGGTCTGTCTTCAAAGTCACCGAGGGTGAGTGAGGCCCTTGTGAGGCCTCTCAACAGTGAGCGCGCGGACTGGCATGCATGCACCAACGTGGAGCGCTTTCTCAAGGTGAGAGCCGCTGTGCTGGTTAAATTCATGAGGCGTCTCAACAGTAAACGTGTAGGCGATTTTTGAGACGCCTAAAGGAGCAGCCGACACTCCTCCTGTGGCTGTGCGGGATGGATTTATGGGTCTGAGAGACGTCTCGCTCTTCACCTCGCCCGACCTCGTAGATTCAAGAGAAGCTCTCCGTTCCCTTACGGTCATGTCCCCCGTTCCCCCGTTCAGGTGTGTCGGCGGGTGGGTCTGAGGGACGTATCGCTCTTCACCTCGCCCGACCTCGTGGATGGCAGGGACGATCAGCACCTCCTTACGCCCATGTCCCCGGTTATTCCCCCGCTCTTCCCCCGCTCTTCCCCCTCTGTTCCCCTGGTGTCCCTCCCCTTCTCCCCAGGTGTGTCGGCGGGTGGGTCTGAGGGACGTATCGCTCTTCACCTCGCCAGGCCTCGTGGATCGCAGAGACGCTCAGCGTTCCCCCATGTCCCCCGTGCCCCCCTCCTCTCCCTGTTTCCTCTCGCTGCGCGTACCTGTCTCCCCAGGTGTGTCGGCGTGTGGGTCTGAGGGACGTATCGCTCTTCACCTCGCCAGACCTCGTGGATGGCAGGGACGTTCGGCGCGTCTGCCTGTGCCTGCGCACGCTGTCCAAGCGACTCGTGGGCATCCGGGATTTCGACGGCATAATGGTGACCGCCTCCTCTGCTGCTCGCCAGAGACTCATCTCCTCCTCCTCTTCTTCTAACTCCTCCTTCTCGTCCAATTCTTGTGCTCAGCCGTCCTCTCTTGCTCCTTCTCTCGCTGACTTGACACGCGCGGCCTCCATCACCCTTCCGTCCACCACCTCTGGTGCTGTTTCTGCTGCTGCTGCTTCCGCTGCTGCTGCTTCCGCTGTTGCTGCCGCCGCTGCTGCACTTGCTGCTGCTGATGATGATGATTCTGGTGCTGGCAAGGGGGGGGCTTTGTTGAGTCCGGACTATGTTGACTTAGGCACACAAGGAGGAGAAGGCATGGCAGGAGCATCACTTGGAGGCCCTCCTGCTTCCACCACTGCGCCTCTCTTCAAGACCGAGCGGAAGGAGCAGCAGCAGCAGCAGAAGCAGTTTACTCAAGCAACTGCCACTGAGTCATTTGACTCCGAACCACCAGACTCAGATGCGCTTTCAAGCACCAACACAGAAACTGGCGTTTCTTCAGGTAGAGAGAGCAGCGTGCAGGGGGACAGTGCCACAGGTGCTGCAGCTGTGACAGGAGCTGCGGGTGCAGCAGGTGCAGCAGGTTTAGCTTCGCATGGTCATGCAGCCGAATCGCAGAATGCACCGGCCTGGTTTGGGCTCAAGGAGGACGAGAGGCGGAGCATGACGGGCGCTAACCCTGCTGGCCTGCCATCGCTCCGCGTGCATGGGAGGCCCGTGGGGGAACGCGTGGGGGGAGCAATGCAGCCTGCCGCAGCAGCAGCATCAGCAGCAGCACCAGCAGGAGTACCTACAGAGCGTGCAGCTGTAGCAGGTGTGGCAGTGGCAGGTAGTGCAAGGGTGCGTGGGCAGGATTGGAGGGGCGAGAGGGCGGATGCGTGGCATGGGGGGCACGAGCAGCGGCATGTGTACCATCGTCACAGTCAGCAGCACCCGCATGAATGTGACCGTGCGCGTGGGGCACCTCACAAGCAGCATCATCCGCATGAGGGGCACGAACAGCAGCAGCAAGTGCACCATCGGTACCATCAGCATACTGACCCACACCGCCACGCTTCTGCTTCGGAGGCGCGCCAAAACAGCCACCGTCTGAGCGAGTATCACCGCGGCTTAGAGCAGAAGCAGAAGCAGAGCGGGGAGCGTCATCTGGGAGGCAGTGCCGCCGCTGCTGTGCCTGCTACTGCTGGTGCTGGAGCTGGAGCCAGGGCTGCTGCTGCATCTGCTGCTCCGGTGGACGTGTCGCCTCGCTTCCTTCCTCCCGACCCCACCTCCCTCACCCCCGTTCTTGTATGTCCTCGTCCCCCCTCTCCCTCGCTCTCGCAATCGTCAACCCCCTCCCCTTCCCCTTCCCATACTCCCCTTCACTCTTCCCCCTCTCACCCTGCCCTCCCCCCTCTCTTCCTTCCCTGGTTCTTCCACACCCTTCCTGCCCCTCCTTCTCTTCCTGCGCCTTTATTTCCCATGCCTTCCTCTCCTTCTGCTAAGCTTGTGTCCGTTCCCACCCCACCCCACGCCCACCGTGCTCGACCAGCAGGACCACCTGAGCAGTCTCCGTCAACTCGCCTCCCCTCTCTCCCGCACGCACTCCAACGCCTTTCTCTCAACCCCTCCCCCCTGCCCTACCCTCGCCATCCACCCCCCCTGACCCGTGGCTTGCTCCCCTGTACCACACCCTGACCACCTGAGCAGTCCCCGTCAACTCGCCTCCCCTCTCTCACTGCTTCCCTCTCCCTCATACCTGTTCTCTTCCACTTCTCCCCTCTTCCCCATTTTTACCCCCCGTCTCCCATTTTTACTCCTGGGTTTTTTCACAGCCGGACCACCTGAGCAGCCCCCGCAGAGTGGCCTCGCCCCTCTCCCGCACTCACTCCAACGCCTCCTCTACCTCCACCGCTCTCCACAGCACTCACTCGCTCTCCCGCCACAGTCACACTCGCGGCAGTCACCGCAGTCACACGCGCTGGGGCTGGTGGGGGAAGGGGAGGGCGAGCAGAGGCGGCGAGGCGTGTGGGACCTGGTTGCTGCTGCTGGTGCAGTGGCTCTGGTGGGCGGAGCGATGGTTCTGGCGAATAGGAGTAACAGACGAACGCGGGAGGAGAGGAGGAGGTGAGTGGGAGGAGGGGAGAGGAGAGTAGGTGAGGAAGGAGAGAAGAGTAGGTGAGCAAAAGGAGAGAAAAAGAGGGGAGACGAGGAGGAGGGGAGAGGAGAAGAGGTGAGTGGGGATGAGCAGACTCTCTTATGAGGTGGCTCAGTTTTCTGTGGTGCAGCAATCGAGACTCGCTAAGACCCCTTGTAAGGCCCATTCTGCTGTATCCTCGCACTACCTCACCACACCTCTGTGCAATGCACTGTACCGCATTGCACCGTACTGCATGTCCATTGCTTGCAGGCGAGCGCTGGAGTATGAGAGGCCGAGCTTCACGGACCACATTGCGCAGCGGCCTCACCTCGGCATGTAAGTGTGACGTGCTCAACTTTGGGGACTTACCTGTTGCTGTCTCTAGCAGTTCCACGTCCATCCTCCTTTCCCTTATCCCCTCTCTCTCCTTTTGCTCTTCCCTTATCCATCCCCTCTCCCTGCCACACCCGCGCAGGGGCTTTGGCGGGGTGTTTGAGCTCAACTTTGGGGATACGCCTGTGGCTGCGGCGGCCACCGATGCACCAGATGGCGAGGGGGCCGAGGGCATTGAAGGGGGGATGGAGAGGGGTAGGGCGGGGGGCAGAGATGGGGGGAGAGAGGGGGGGGCGGATCTGGCGGCTGGGGAGGAGGAGCGGGCAGGGCTGGGCAGACGGGAAGCACGGTGAGTACTGGCGGAGGGGTCCCAAGCCGCTGCCACGGTGGCAGCAGGCGGAGCTGGTGTTGGGGCAGCAGCGGGAGATACATGGTCATTTGCTGATTGCAACAGTGCTCTGTGTCCCCCGTCTTCTCCCGTTCCCTCCCTGTCCCCGTACCCTTCCCCCAGTCGCCCCTGGTTCATGTCCCTCGGCTCGCAGCGGAACTCAACCTCAACGGGAGAAGCAAGAAGCACCACCAGCACAACCGGCAGCAGCAGCAACGCCACCAGCAGCAGCGGAGGGTGGCGGAGGGGGCCCAAGCCGCTGCCGAGGTGGCAGCAGGCGGAGCTGGTGTTGAGGCAGCAGCGGGAGATGGTCACACGCGCTGGGGCTGGTGGGGGAAGGGGAGGGCGAGCAGAGGCGGCGAGGCGTGTGGGACCTGGTTGCTGCTGCTGGTGCAGTGGCTCTGGTGGGCGGAGCGATGGTTCTGGCGAATAGGAGTAACAGACGAACGCGGGAGGAGAGGAGGAGGTGAGTGGGAGGAGGGGAGAGGAGAGTAGGTGAGGAAGGAGAGAAGAGTAGGTGAGCAAAAGGAGAGAAAAAGAGGGGAGACGAGGAGGAGGGGAGAGGAGAAGAGGTGAGTGGGGATGAGCAGACTCTCTTATGAGGTGGCTCAGTTTTCTGTGGTGCAGCAATCGAGACTCGCTAAGACCCCTTGTAAGGCCCATTCTGCTGTATCCTCGCACTACCTCACCACACCTCTGTGCAATGCACTGTACCGCATTGCACCGTACTGCATGTCCATTGCTTGCAGGCGAGCGCTGGAGTATGAGAGGCCGAGCTTCACGGACCACATTGCGCAGCGGCCTCACCTCGGCATGTAAGTGTGACGTGCTCAACTTTGGGGACTTACCTGTTGCTGTCTCTAGCAGTTCCACGTCCATCCTCCTTTCCCTTATCCCCTCTCTCTCCTTTTGCTCTTCCCTTATCCATCCCCTCTCCCTGCCACACCCGCGCAGGGGCTTTGGCGGGGTGTTTGAGCTCAACTTTGGGGATACGCCTGTGGCTGCGGCGGCCACCGATGCACCAGATGGCGAGGGGGCCGAGGGCATTGAAGGGGGGATGGAGAGGGGTAGGGCGGGGGGCAGAGATGGGGGGAGAGAGGGGGGGGCGGATCTGGCGGCTGGGGAGGAGGAGCGGGCAGGGCTGGGCAGACGGGAAGCACGGTGAGTACTGGCGGAGGGGTCCCAAGCCGCTGCCACGGTGGCAGCAGGCGGAGCTGGTGTTGGGGCAGCAGCGGGAGATACATGGTCATTTGCTGATTGCAACAGTGCTCTGTGTCCCCCGTCTTCTCCCGTTCCCTCCCTGTCCCCGTACCCTTCCCCCAGTCGCCCCTGGTTCATGTCCCTCGGCTCGCAGCGGAACTCAACCTCAACGGGAGAAGCAAGAAGCACCACCAGCACAACCGGCAGCAGCAGCAACGCCACCAGCAGCAGCGGAGGGTGGCGGAGGGGGCCCAAGCCGCTGCCGAGGTGGCAGCAGGCGGAGCTGGTGTTGAGGCAGCAGCGGGAGATGGTCACACGCGCTGGGGCTGGTGGGGGAAGGGGAGGGCGAGCAGAGGCGGCGAGGCGTGTGGGACCTGGTTGCTGCTGCTGGTGCAGTGGCTCTGGTGGGCGGAGCGATGGTTCTGGCGAATAGGAGTAACAGACGAACGCGGGAGGAGAGGAGGAGGTGAGTGGGAGGAGGGGAGAGGAGAGTAGGTGAGGAAGGAGAGAAGAGTAGGTGAGCAAAAGGAGAGAAAAAGAGGGGAGACGAGGAGGAGGGGAGAGGAGAAGAGGTGAGTGGGGATGAGCAGACTCTCTTATGAGGTGGCTCAGTTTTCTGTGGTGCAGCAATCGAGACTCGCTAAGACCCCTTGTAAGGCCCATTCTGCTGTATCCTCGCACTACCTCACCACACCTCTGTGCAATGCACTGTACCGCATTGCACCGTACTGCATGTCCATTGCTTGCAGGCGAGCGCTGGAGTATGAGAGGCCGAGCTTCACGGACCACATTGCGCAGCGGCCTCACCTCGGCATGTAAGTGTGACGTGCTCAACTTTGGGGACTTACCTGTTGCTGTCTCTAGCAGTTCCACGTCCATCCTCCTTTCCCTTATCCCCTCTCTCTCCTTTTGCTCTTCCCTTATCCATCCCCTCTCCCTGCCACACCCGCGCAGGGGCTTTGGCGGGGTGTTTGAGCTCAACTTTGGGGATACGCCTGTGGCTGCGGCGGCCACCGATGCACCAGATGGCGAGGGGGCCGAGGGCATTGAAGGGGGGATGGAGAGGGGTAGGGCGGGGGGCAGAGATGGGGGGAGAGAGGGGGGGGCGGATCTGGCGGCTGGGGAGGAGGAGCGGGCAGGGCTGGGCAGACGGGAAGCACGGTGAGTACTGGCGGAGGGGTCCCAAGCCGCTGCCACGGTGGCAGCAGGCGGAGCTGGTGTTGGGGCAGCAGCGGGAGATACATGGTCATTTGCTGATTGCAACAGTGCTCTGTGTCCCCCGTCTTCTCCCGTTCCCTCCCTGTCCCCGTACCCTTCCCCCAGTCGCCCCTGGTTCATGTCCCTCGGCTCGCAGCGGAACTCAACCTCAACGGGAGAAGCAAGAAGCACCACCAGCACAACCGGCAGCAGCAGCAACGCCACCAGCAGCAGCGGAGGGTGGCGGAGGGGGCCCAAGCCGCTGCCGAGGTGGCAGCAGGCGGAGCTGGTGTTGAGGCAGCAGCGGGAGATGGTCATTCGCCGCCTGCATGGGGACCGCCGCTCCATGGCTGAGATCTGGTGGGTGCGGATGGGTGCTGGTGGGTGCTGGTGGGTGGTGGTGGGTGGTGGTGGGTGCGGATGGGTGCTGTGGGTGGTGGTGGGTGCTGGTGGGTGCTGCATGTGACACTGGCGCTTCACATATCTCTACCCCCGTTGTCATGTCCCCGTCTCCCTTGTCCGGCCCATGCTGCATGCCCCATGCCCACTTCCCCCACGACCCCGCCCAGACCCGCCCCCACCCCTCCATGCAGTCGCCTCGCCTGGACGAGGAGAGGTACTCGAATTTCTGCCAGGGCTACAAAGCTGCTACTCACCTGTCCAGTCCACCCTCTGACGCAATCCCTTCCTCTCCCTTCTCCCCCTCCCTTGCAGTCGCCTGGACGAGGAGAGGTACTCGGATCTCTGTCGCGGGTTCGAAGAGGCTCGCAGAAAGGAGGAGAGGGCTGAGGGGAGTGAAGGAGGCGAGGGTAGGGGGAGCACGGAGGGCGGCGTGTACGAGGTGCAAGAGGGGGATACTCTGAGCACGATTGCAGACAAGTTTAGGCAGAGCGTGGGGGAAGTGCTGCGGCGTAACCCGCAAATTAAGGATCCTGATGCTATATACCCGCATGACCGCCTGGTGCTGTGACAAGGTGCGGAAGGGGGGGGTGTATGAGGTGCAGGAGGGGGATATACTGAGCACGATTGCAGACAAGTCCAGGCGGAGCGTGTGGGAAGTGCTGTGGCGGATGTGGAAGAGGGGAGTGTATGAGGTGCAGGAGGGCGATATATTGAGCACCATTGCTGATCAGTTCAGGCAGAGCGTTGGGGAAGTGCTGCAACGTAACCTGCAAATTTGGGATCCTGATGCCATTTACCCGCATGACCGACTGATGCTGTGATGCTGGAGGGTTGGAGCAGCGGGGAGGGCAGATGGGGAGAAGCAGGGAGGGCAGATGGGGAGAAGCAGGGAGGGCAGATGGGGAGAAGCAGGGAGGGCAGATGGGGAGAAGCAGGGAGGGCAGATGGGGAGAAGCAGGGAGGGCAGCGTGGGAGAGGTGCGACGGCGTAACCCCCATTACAGATCCCGATGCTATTTACTCGCCAATGACTTGTGCTGTGATGCCCTGGTAGGTAGGTAGGAAAAGGGCAAAGGAAGGCAGGGAGAGGGCAGGAGGAGAAGGGAGGGGAGCATAGAGGAGGTTCTGCAGCTTAACCCTCGCATCAGTGATTCTGATGCTGTTTATCTGCATGGCCGGCCGTTGCTGTGACATGGCGGAAGGGTAGGAGAAGTGGGGAGGCGAGATGGGGAAGGCGGAAGCAACGAGCAGAAGCGCCTGTGCAGTGCAGTGCCTTTTGAGTCGACTCTGAAGTCACCTTGTAGTGCACACTGCACGCTGTTCACTTGCCACGAGTTTTGAGACGTCTCAAAGCTCTCTGCTTGAGAGGCAGGCAGCACGGGGGCATGGGTTTGTGGCAGCGATAACCTGCGGAGGCTGTTGGCTTGCTACAAGGTGAGTTGTTTGCTTGGCTGGTTGGGGGCAGAGGGGTGTAGAAATGAGGGATGATTGAAAAGCTGTGTTGTTTCACTGTCCGTTTGATGCGGTCGAAACTCTTCAGACCTGCTTGCATGGGTGTCGGAGGTGCAGCATGCCCTGAGACGGCATGTTTCGAGAAGAAGCGACCATTGACTAATCCCACTGACCCTTACCCCTCAGTGTTTCCCCCGCAATCGCCAACTGCCCCCCCTTTTCACCTTCCTGCCCACCCCGTCCCCTCCTCAATGAGCAACAGGCCTCAATTCAGGGTGCCAGAAAGCCATTCTTGCCCCACCCACACCATGTGAAAAATGTTTGATGCACGTAACACGTTGCTGTGACCTTGTCATCCTGAGGGTTGTAGTTGCAGCTCAGTGCAGTTGCACAACTGGTGCATTTGATACACGCTCGTTAGGTTATGAATTTTTTTCTTTACATAACAGTTCCCATGTACAGTACAGTGCCCTTTCAAAATGTACAATCCAGGTTACAGCCAGCACAGCAGAGCATGAGCGATATGATATACGGTACCCGCCATAGCATAGCATTATAGCATTGCACCACCAATGGCTTAGGCACATCTCTTGACTTCCAAGTGCCACTCCAGGGGCCCACACACACGCCACTGCTTCAAGGCACATCGTATGTTCGCTCGCACCTCTCTCTTGGACCCGTCTCTCCGTCACCTCGCAGCAGCACGTGCCTCCCGCATCGAATCCCATACCCTCAATTGCGGTTCCAGCACTGCGGGACAAAGCACGCCACCCACTTATCCGCTCCCCCCAAAGCAGCCCTCCCGCCGGTCCCAAAGTCGGGCCCGTTCCCCCTCGGCCACACGAAGGAGGGGGAGTGGCAGATAGCGGTACCAGTAGAGGCAGGAGGAGAGAGAGGAGGGGAGCAAGGGGAGGCGTAGGGAGGGGAAATAGGAGGGGATTGAGGAGGTGAGCGAGGAGGGAGGTAAGGGGAAGAGCAAGGAGGAGGGGATTGGGACAAGGTTTGGTGCGAGGAGGATTGGGTAGGCTCTGGAGCAGCTACGCATGCCCGCTGCTCCTGTGTGTCTGCCCGCTGTCTGTGAGGGTCTGGCTGCTGTTTCTGCGCTTTTGAATCAAGAGGAGGCACTCTCCTCAGCTGCCGCAGTGACCTGCTCGGCACCAGCTGAGGAACCACCTGACCAGGTGCCATCGGGTTGGGCCCTAGCACCTGGGCAGGAACCACCTGGTCAGGTGAATCTTTGTCAGGTGCCACCTGACCAGTCATCGCACGTCCATCGGAGGCAGAGCGCTGCAGGTGGCTGGTGCAGGTGGGATTGCTGGGGAGGGCGCTGCTGGTGCAGGTGGGATTGCTGGGGAGGGCGCTGCTGGTGCAGGTGGGATTGGCCTGGTCGGTGCAAGGCTGGTAGTGCTGAGGCAGCAAACGTGTGCGATGGGTGAGAGACTGGTATGGTGACGTGGCTTGCTGGTAAGGCGACGTGGCTTGCTGATAAGGTGACGTGGCTTGCTGGTAAGGTGACGTGGCCTGCTGGTAAGGTGACGTGGCTTGCTGGTAAGGCGACGTGGCCTGCTGGTAAGGTGACGTGGCTGGCTGTTCCCTCTCGTATTCGTCTCTCTCTGGCTGTTGCTGCTCATACACCTGCTGCTGCTGCTGCTTTTGAAACCACTCCTGTTGCTGCTCTTGCCCCTGTCCCTGTCCCTGCTGCCCCTGCTTCTGCCCCTGCTCCTCCTGCCCCAGCCCCTGCTGCTGCTGCTGCCGCCACAGCTCCCACTGCTGCCGTCGCTCCGCCATAAGGCGATGCGCCGCCTTGCGCTGCCGCTCGTGGTGCCACTGCTGCTGCCGCCGCCGCTCCACGCGCCGCAATCGCAGCTCTATAAGTCGCTCGCGGTCCGGCTCGCTCCTGTCCACGTACATGCCGTCCACATGCCGCCTGTCCAGCTGACGCCTGTCTGGCTGTTCCGGCTGTTGCCTGTCCGGCTGTTGCCTGTCCGGCTGTTGCCTGTCCCCCCTGTATTGCCCGTCTTGTGCGTCCCTGCGTGCCCCCCGCCCGTACCCGCCGTTGCGCGCAAGGCATTGCCCGTCCGATGCTTGTCGCAGCAGGTTCGCGCCTCTCCCCTCCCGCCCTTCCGCCCGCTCCCCGTCCCCGCGCGTTTGCCCGCTGCGGTTATCCGTCAAATGCGGCTCCAGGCTTAAATGCCTCGCAAGATGCGACTGTTGCTGCTGCTGCTGTTGCTGCTGGTCGTACGCGCTCGTCAGGTAAGACCTGTCCAGTTGCCGCCGGGGTTCCTCTCCGCGCCACCCCCGCGTTTCCCCTCCCGCCGCCCCCCCAGTCCGCGCGCTCACTCCCCATCCGCCCGCGCCGCTCATTTCCCCCCTGCGCCCTTCCCCTTCCGCCGCCATCTCGTTTTCCCCCATCTCCTCCTCCCAATCCTCCCCCTCCTCTTCCTCCTCCCCTTCTTCGTATTCCCTTTCCTCTTCCCAAGCCTCGTCATCAGGCACGGGTGCTGACGTGGACCGATGAATAAACGGTTTCTCCCACCCGCCCGCCTGATCGTATTTCCCGCCGCTGTCTCTGCTGGTTACCAGGTTACCAGCAGGCCCCTTCGCGTGTCGCTGATGATTATTAAGAACGGGACAAGGGCTGTTTGTAACGGCGGAAGAGTAGTTCCCGCTGGGATAGGCGGAAGCCGCTAGGGGGAGGGAGGAGTGTCGCGGAATCGGCGCAGCGCGACGGGATGCGGCGCCGCTGTTTCCCCGTGCGAGCGGGCCCGGGGGTCCCCGTGGTGGCACCCGCTGCTCATACGCGCAACCGCCGTCGAGCACAAACGCGCGGTCCAGCTGCTGCGCTCGGGGCTCATACGCGCAGCTGGGCGCAAAGGAACGGTCCGCGGGCCCCGCGGGGGGGTGGTTCGGGGGAATATAGAGCGGAACTGCTATAGGAAGGGTCTCCGAGGCGGTGGGCGGGAGAAACATGGGCGGCGACGGCTGTTCCCTAGCGGCGGAGATACGCACGGGGGCGCCGAGCGAGGGCGTGCGGAAGAGGGGAGACTTGGGCGCGGGGGAAGATCCGGCGGGGGGAAGGGAAACGGGCGGCGGAGCGGGGGAGGTGACGGAGTTATACCGGCGGAGGGGAACGGGGGAAGCGGAAGAGATTGCGCCATAGGGGCTTCCGCTATGGGGACTCGCACTGTAAGGACAAGCGGAAGCTTCTTGCGCGCAAGTGCGGGGAGGAATGGGCGCGGGAAAGCGTCTAGAGGCGGGATTGAGCGGGGATGGCGGACGTTGAGCGGGGTCCCATGGGATTTGCCTATTAGTGGATACGGGATACGCGAGTATCGGCGGTCCGTCGTCCATTTGGAGTTATGTGATTGGACGACCGATGATTGCGGGAAGGAACAGAGAAAACACGAGATCACAGAGGACGGAGAAATAAACAGGAATTGGGAGTACGGAGGGAGGCGGGATACGGAGGAGGAAGTAGGGAAGTGGGATGCAGCAGGTGACGTGCGGAGCTGGCAGCTCTTACTAGCTCAGGGAGTGGCGGTTAGGTGACTCGGGCTGCTAGATACACTCACAGATGGATAGGCGTAAGTTGGAGTGGATGGGGTTCGAAAAGAGACGTGAGAAGCGGAAGCGGGAGTAAGGAAAGTGGTGGGTGGTTGGACTGGCAGAAGGACGCACGTGATTCTGCAAGCCACTCACAGCTGGTGGCTGGGGATAAATGCGCGGTGCATCGTAACGAAATCGAACAAAAGCAAGGAAGAAGGATACAACTAGAGGCGAAACAAACCGTGCAATACCAAAACAAAACCTTCTTAAAACGTCTGTCAACGACTTAAACCGAACATATTAGTAGGCCTTTATGATGAGAGTTTCGCAGAGCTTTATGCGACAAGTGTCCTGGACGAAACGCGGGCTGATGCGGTGTGTTGCGTTGCGAAACAATGTTGTTGGCATGCGAAACAGTTCCTCGCGGCGATCTTTGTTTGAAAACTCCAGCTTGCAAGGAAACGCTGTTCTATTGGCTGAGGAAGTGCCCCCCAGCTCCAAGTAACAGTACTTCTCGCGTCTTGGTCGTGGTCGTGAAATCTGATGCGACGTGGGAAACAGTTCGTTCAACAAGTCGCACAAGCCCACAATCCGTTACACTGTTTTTCCATAACAATCAACTCAGTTCTTCTGTAACAGGTAAGCTTGTTCCATAGGCACCTGTGAGTTCGATTCACGATTTCGTTTCTTGTAAACCGCTCAGCAAAGATGGCAGGCGACGACACCCGTGTTGCTGCTGTTTGCTGCTGTTTTTGCCTCCCGCACGTCAGCAATTGTTATTATATTGGATTGACACGGTCGCAATTCCGAAACAAATTGATTTTTTTTTTATTTTATTTTGTCGCATGCAGAGGTTGCACCTCATCCCGGCAAAACACCTGGTCGTCTTTTGAGCTTCCAGAAACGGATGTGCGAATCTGAGGCTTCGGTTCGGCAGTCCAGCAGTGCCACTAACCTGAGGGATGAACTGTGCGGTGGATGAGGGGGCAGGCAGGACAATGTAAAATCCGGCGTTTTCCTGCGCGTGACATCAAGCATTGAATGCGAATCTCGACGGACCTCACGCACGTCCGCTAAGATGTGGCAAAAGAACCAGCTAGGGTACAGGTTCGGGAAAGCGATACCTACATACGTATTACACTTAGGTCGAAATATTTTTCTAGGAAATATGCAAATCTACAAAATAAACTCCAAGCAACATAAACCTCAAATAGTCTATGCTAAGCCTGATACACTTTGGTCATCATCCTCATCGTCGTCATTACCTTGATAGACACGGCAAAAGGGCATTCCGAGCGAGGAGAATATGGTGCCTGTAGACCGAGCAATGTCTTTCTTTCGCCTGCCAGAGAGGCTTGACGTGTCCGTCGAAGAGGCTGTGCTGTGTGCCGGTGATGGCGGCATATCACAGCCGTTGGCTGCCATCCACGGATGAGCTGCAAATATCAAACGGCAGAAACAGGAGTTAGAAGAAAAACACAAATAAAAGGGGGAAAAATTCAATGTATCAAGTATTAATACCATGACGCTAATATCTTTCCCTTCATCTGAAATCGCCGGCCAGACGCCACTCTCCATGTCCACCTTGTCACGCTTGATCTGCCGGTACACGCCCGCGTCCGCGTCGTCCCAAAACCCTGAAAGATCCTACTGAGAACATCCCTTGAATTGCACCACATCCTTGGCCCCTCACCTCGTACCTTCCGAGCCTCACACCCAGACAGGAACCCCTACAACCTCACATGGGGCACGTACCGAGCAGTCTATCGAGGGTGATTCGCTGGTGAGGGTCCGCGGACAGCATCCCCAGCACCAGATCCTTCCCTTCATCCGAAATCGCCGGCCAGACTCCGCTCTCCATGTCCACCTGCGCGCGCTTGATCTGCCGGTACACACCCGCGTCCGTGTCATCCCAGAAGGGCAGCTTCTGGGAGAGCATGGTGTAGAGGATCACCCCCAGGCTCCATACGTCCGCCTCGTGCCCGTATATGCTGTCCAGCACCTCCGGCGCCATGTAGAATGGCGACCCTGCATAGCCTGTCATGCGCTCGCCTGTAAAAACACGGGGCATGGGGCAGGGGGCATGAGACACGGGGCACGGTGGTGTAGAGGATGTCCCCCAGGCTCCACACGTCTGCCTCATGCCCGTACACGCTGTCAAGCACCTCCGGCGCCATGTAGAATGGCGACCCTGCATAGCCGGTCATGCGCTCGCCTGGAGGGAGGAAGTGGGATCAGGTGGGTGTGACGGGGTGGGTAAGAGGGTGGTGCATGATGCTGTGCGTGTGGGTATGAACGTGGCCGTGGGTATGGGACTTTTGAGGCGCCTCAAAATATGGACGTGGCCATGGGTATGGGCGTGGGTGTGTATCTGTGTGTGTAGCTCTGGTTGTGGGTATGCATACGGGCTTCTGACTGCATATTGAGAGTTGCTGTACTATGGGTGCATGATGCCGTGGGTGGGAGTGTGCGTGGGTATGGGTGTGGGTGAGTGGCTGTGGGTGGATGGGTGTGAGGAAGAGCTCCACTCACCGGCTTTAAGGTGCACAGAGAACCCAAAGTCAGCGAGGCGCAGGTCCCACCAGCACCCGGGCTGCGCCAGAAGGATGTTTTCGGGCTTTAAGTCGCGGTGCATGATACCGTGGTTGTGGCACGACCGCAGTAAATAGGTGCTGCTGCGCGTATACCTCTGGTTGTGGCACGACCGCAGTAAATGGGTGCTGCTGCGCGTATACCTCTGGTTGTGGCCGTGGCTGTGGATGTGTCGTGAGCAGGTGTGAGGGAGTGCAGAATTAAACCCAGGCACTCACCAGCCTTGAGGTGAACCGAGAATCCCAAATCAGCCAATCGCAGGACCCCCCAGCACCCGGGCTGGGCGAGCAGGATGTTTTCGGGCTTTAAGTCGCGGTGCATGATGCCGTGTTTATGGGTAAGGGCGTGGCGTGTGGCTGTGGGCGTGAGGAAGAGAAGAGCATATGCCCACTCACTCACCGGCTTTGAGGTGAACGGAGAAGCCAAAGTCGGCCAACCGGAGGTCCCACCAGCACCCAGGCTGCGCCAGCAGGATGTTCTCGGGCTTTAAGTCGCGGTGCATGATGCCGTGGTTGTGGCACGACCGCAGCGTCTCCGCCAGCACGCGCAGGATGATGGCGGCCTCCCGCTCCGAGATGAAGGGGGATGAGTTGATGTGATCCAGCAGGTCGCCTCCTGAGCAGAGCTCCATGAAGATGTACACGCACTGAGGGGAGAGGGGTGGGGGATGGGGGAGAGAGGGCAGCAGGAGGGAAACGGGGAAAGAGAAGGAGGGAGAGGGAGGAGAGGGGAGCGCATGCTGGTTGGTCGAGTGTCTCCGCCGGCACGCGCAGGATGATGGCGGCCTCCCGCTCCGAGATGAACGGCGACGAGTTGATGTGATCCAGGAGATCGCCTTCAAAGCAAAGTTCCATCACAATATAGACGCACTCGAAAGGGGGAGCTAGGGGAGGAAAGAGGGGAGAAGACAGGATGGATGGGATGGGGGAAAGGGGGCATGGTGCCTGGTTGTGGGTTTGGGTGCTCTGGTGTCTCTGCCAGCACGCGCAGGAAGATGGCGGCCTCTCCCTCCGAGATGAATGGCGACGAGTTGATCTGGTCAGGAGATCGCCTTCGAAGCAAAGCTCTATGAGAAGGCAAGCAGAGCTCGCACTGGAAGGGAGGAGAGCGGGGAGAGGGGAGGGGAAGGGGAGGGGGTGATGGAGGGAGGGCGATGATAAGCAAGCAGAGCTCCATCAGAATGTACACGCAGTGGAGAGAGAGGGGAGGGGAGGAAAGAGGGGACAGACAGAGGGGATGGGGAAAGGGGGCGTGCTGGTTGTGGGTTTCGGTGCTCTAGTGTTTCCGTGAGGGGAAACGAGGCGGTAAGGGAGGGGGGAGATGAAAAAGGAAAGTGGGAGATGGGGTAGGGATAGAGGGAGAGGAGGGCGGGAGGGGTGGGGGGAGGGAGGGGTAGAAGGGAGGAAGAGGGGGTGGTTTATGGGTAGGGAGAAGGTGAAGGTGCGATTGAGAAGGCTGCTCCCCAAGCAGCTCCATAACGATGACCATAGCCACTGAGACTTTGTTGGTTTCTGTTGGTTATCTCAAGAATCACAACCTCTGAGAGTTTATTAGATTTTGATAGAGTCCCTCAGAGTTTGATGTTTCTTGTTGCCTTTTCCGGATTTTTTTAACCACTCCTACATACCACCAGGAGCCCACCTTTTCATCCTCTCGTGAATCTTTCATCCCCACCACGTGCGTGCGCCCATCCCAAAAAGCCTCTCTCACTCAAACCCTAATTTTCACTCCAGCCCTAACCTCTGGTCCAACCAACCTCATCAGAGCCACTTCTACAGCTCCCATGCGCGCTCACATATTCGTCCTCTAGCGCATCTTTGATCGATCTCCACCACGTGCGGCCATCCAATCCAGCTTGCACACGTGTCACCTTCCTCAGCCCCACTCCAACCCTCCTGAGTCCACACCCACAGCCCCCTGGCGCTCACCTTTTCGCCCTCCAGTCCAGTGCGTCTTTGATCCCCACCACATGCGGCCATCCCAAAGCTTCTCTCACTAAAACCCTACTCTTCACGCAAGCCCTAGCCCCTAGCCCCTGTGTCAAAACCAAAGCTTCAACACTAACTCCTCACCTTTTCATCCTCTAGTGCCTCTTTGATCCCCACCACTTGGGGCCATCCCAGCAGCTTGACCGGCTCAAACCCCAACCCTCACGTTTCCCTCACCACTACCGATTCCGGAACCCTAACTCCCACCGATACCACACAAACAGCCCTGGCGCTCACCTTTTCGCCCTCCAGTGCGTCTTTGATCCCCACCACATGTGGCCATCCCAGAATATACTCAAATTTAGCTCAAACACCAAACCCCAAACCCCGAACCCCAAACCCCGAACCCCAAACCCCGAACCCTAAACCCACCTGTAACCCTCCTGAAACCATCTCCACAGCCCTAACTGCTCACCTTTTCGTCCTCTAGTGCGTCTTTGATCCCCACCACGTGCGGCCATCCCAGAAGCTTCCTCATAACGTCCACCTCAGCCCGCACAGCAGCCACCTTCCTCGGCTCCACCAGAGTCGCCTTGTCAATCGCCTTGCACGCATACGCCCGCCCCGTGCGCCTCTCCACACACATATACACCACCACCCCCCGCCGCCCCTGCCCGATCTGCTGCCCGACCTCAAATCTCTTCCGGATGTCTGTGAACCCGCGCTCGAAAATCCCTTCCGTGCTGCCCGTGCCCGGCTGCTGCTGCTGCTGCTGCTGCCCGTCGCCGCGGGGAGTCCTGGGGCTCAGAGTTTTCGGGCTGGTGGTTCGCGAAGAGCTTTTCTTCTCGGTCTGCCCGGAACTTGACTTCCCAGAACCCTGCTCGTCTCTCTTCCCAGGGCTTTTGGTCCTGCTGGTGCGAGGGCTCTTGCTCCTGGTCTCTGCACCGCCTCTGGATGTCCCAGAAGCACCAGCACCGCCAGCAGCAGCAGCAGCAGCAGCAGGGGCATTGGCAGTGGCACCAGCAGGGGAAGAAGCAGAGGGACTGCCGGTGGCACTGGCAGAGCCAGGCGACGAGGCTTTGCCCGAACCTGCTGCGTTCTTTGGCGTGGACGAACCGGCTCGGCCCGAACCTGACACGGAGGGAGCAGAACCGGACGAACCACCACCAGCTGCAGCAGAAGCAGCAGAAGCTGCAGCAGCAGTGGCAGCAGCAGTGGCAGAGAGAGCAGCAGCAGCAGATACACCAGTGGGAGTGGTGGCAGAAGCAGGGGAGTGTTTCTGCGAGTTATCAGTGAAAGTGGAAGAAGGAGAGGAGGAGTGGGCTGCAGCAGTGGTGGTGCCGCTGATGCTGAGGCGACGAGGAGACGTTGATACGGTCAATCCTTTGACCTTCTTCATTCCACCGCCCTCACCACCACCACCAGCAGCACTAGCGCCAGCACCAGCACCAGCAGTGGCACCACCAGCAGCAGCGGCACCAGCAGGAGCAGTGCTGTTACCACTGCTACCACCAGTGCCAGCAGCAGCAGCAGCAGCAGCAGCAGCAACAGCGTTACTAGCAGAAGAAGCAGAGGCGTTACCAGCAGCAGCAGCAGCCGAACCAAAGGAGCCTTTAGGAGCAGTGAGGCTACGGCTAAACCCCTCCACTGCAGCCACCAGGCCCCCTCCCCACGTGCCCGACCCAGCCCGCTTCGACCTGTGCTGGCTGGCCTCCTTTGGCGTTTTGCTGCCGCCCGCACTCGTGCTATGATCCGATCTGTGGTCCATTTTGAACGACCGTGAGGCCAAGCTGATGCCAATGCCGCTGCTGCTGCTACCGCCGCCACCGCCACCAGTGCTGGTGCTAGCAGTGTTGCTAGTGCCGCCGCTGGTGCTTGCGCTGGTGCCCCCCTTGGGTGTTTTGGAGCCTCTACTGCTGGAGGAGCGAGGCTGGGTGAACGAACGGAGAAAACTAGGCGTTTTGACCTCTCCTGCCCCACCTCCCTCGTTTCCTTTCCCTCCTGCTCCCCCTCCGACCTTTCGTTTTTCCCACAGCAACAACCCCTTTGATTCTTTCACCAGACTCTCTGTGCTCTTGCGCAAAGAGTCCCCCCCCCCCCGCTGCTGCTCCCCCCCCTGCTGCTCCTCCGCCTGCTCCCCCTGCCCCCTCTTTGCCTCCTGTCCCTGGCCGCACTACCTCTTTCCTTGGCTTCCCTCGTGCTGGTGACTCCAACCTTCTCGTGGGCATATCTAGGAGCGCCTCTACCATCCTCCGCCCCTTCTCCCGATCCCCTTCCCTCTCCTTCTCCTTCTCCTTGCCGCCGCCCTTCCCTGTTGCCGATACCACTGCATCTGCCTCTCTCCGCGTTCTCTCCCCTGTGATACTGCGCCCCCACCCGCCCACTCCCCCTCCCCCTCCCCCTACCCCTCCCCCAGCTCGGGGAGTTACTGCATTCCTCCCAACTCCCTTCCCCCCTTTCCCCTCACCCTTCCCCCCTCCCCTCTTCTCTTCTTCCTCCTGCTTTCCCTCCGCCTCCCCATCACCCCCCTGCCACCCCCTCGCCTTCCCCTTATCGTCCCTAAAACGCGGGGAAGCCAGGCCTTTAAGCTTCTGAATAAACGCCTGCCGTCGCTGGGACTTCCCCCTTCCACTCTCCTCTCCCTCTCCCCCTCCCCGCCCACCCCCTCCTAGACTCCCCGTCCGCCTGTGCCCTCTCCTCCGAGCCTCCTCACTCTCCTTCTCCTCCTCCCCCTCCCCCATCTCTCCCCAATCGTACCCCCCATACCCCTCCCCGTCCTCCTCCTCATCAGGATCCCCAGCCAGAGGCTCTAAAGAGTCTAGAAGCGTGGTGCTGCCATTGTCTCCGGACAAATCTGCCGAACCAGTCACCAAGGCTCGGGGCTTAGGTTTGGTGCGGGGAGGTGCCTGCTGCTGCTGCTGCTGCTGCTTCTGCTGTTTCTGATATTCCATCCCATCATCTGGCTCGTCTAAGTAATAAATCTCTTCCTCCCACCCCTGCCCACCTGCCCCTTCTACCTTCCCCACCTGTTCCCTCCCCTGCAGCAAATACTTCTCACGTGCAAGCACCTCCCCTTCTTCCTCCTCCTCCTCCTCTTCCTCATCTCCCAATCGCACCATAACTTCCTGCCCGTCTTCTTCTACCAAGTCCTCTGGTTCCAGCTGATTGGTTGGCGAGAGCTGCCCGAGATCCAGGGCAGCGGGGCGGCGAAACTTTTCGCTGTTGCTGCGGACGGTCAGGGTAGGGGCGGAGAGGGAGGGCGAGGAGACGGAGGCCGATGTTCTTTGCTCCTGCAGTCTCGCCAGCAACGGCTGCTGCTGTTGCTGCTGCGGCTGCTGTTTCTGATGCAGCTGCTGCTGCTGCGGCTGCTGATTCTGATGCAGCTGCTGCTGCTGGTGGTGCTGGTGGTGCTGGTGGTGCTGGTGGTGCTGGTGGTGCTGGTGGTGCTGGTGGTGCTGGTGGTGCTGGTTCTGCTGTGGATTCGTGTTCTGGGCGTGCAGTTGCTGCTGCAGCCTTCGACCCATGTCATCAGACACATCTGTCGATACGCCCCCATCTCCACCGGCGCTACCATCACTGCCATGCCCATGCGCACTAACGGGGGCGTAATGCAAGGACGTGGGTGACTGTATCGATGCCTGGTTAGACTCAAACGAGAAAGACGAGGAGGTGGGGTAGGCGGGGAACGGACCAGCACCACCAGCCACTCCCCCCCCCACTTCCGCCCCTCCCGCCCCTCCCGTCTTCCCCGTTTCCCCGGAGGCGGAACCGGCGGAATCGCCAGAGGAGGGGCGCAGGGAGAACGAGTTACTGGGAGGATAGGAGCTTTTGGGAGGGTAGGAGGAGGGAGAGTGCGAGGGAGATGATGCATCACGGGGAGATGGGCCAGTACGAAGGGACGACCCCGTACGCGGAGACGTTCCAGTACCGGGAAGTAACCCCCCACGAGGAGATGAAACCGTACGGGGAGATGAGCCTGTACGAGGGGAGGAACCCGTACGAGGGGCGGAGGCTGTACGCGGATCATAAACGGGGCTTGCACTTTGTTTCTCTGAACCCTGAAACGCCTGGGAAAACACACCTGTGCTTACATGAGAGCCGGATTCGGAATAGAGATCAGTACTGGTGCTAGAGTGAGGCGATAAGGCTGGGGCAGCAGCGGTGGGGGAGGCATTGGCGGAACGCGCTAGGGCGCGCGCGGAGGAGGAGGCGGACCTGGGGAAGCGCTGGCGGGCGGGAGAAACCGGGGGAAGCGCGGGCTGGGGCGTGAGGGGGGGAGGAACAACGCGCGGCGCAGCGGAGAGCGGGGATTTTGGCACAGCGACGCTGCGCGACTTGGGGAAGTACAAGGCGGCGTCCGCTCTGGGGGATCTCCGCCCCCCCTCGCCGCTGCTTCCCCCCATCGCCGCCGCCGCCGCAGCAGCTCTGGCGGTCACCCCGCCGCCTGTCTCCTGATACCTGGAATTATCTTGCCTCCTCCCAACCTGCCCCCCTCCCTCTCTCTCCCGCTCCCTGCTTCCCCTCCCCCCTGGTCCGCCGGCCTCCGCTTTCCCCATCCCCGCGTCCTTCCCCCGCCCTTTTGCCTTACGCCCGTCTCCCCCGCGCCTCCGTCCGTCGTCGAATCCCCCGCTAGGGTTCGGGCCTACGGGGCTGTCTTCGTCTACCAGGAATCTCAGCAGGCGCGGAGACATGATGCCTATGCTCCCCGCGCGCACCCCGCGGGGTCCCCCCATCCCCGCGACTCCGCCTGCGCCTTCCCTCCCGCCGCCGTTCCCGCCTCCAGCGCCCACCAGTCTGCCGCTCCCTCCGCCGCCCGCCAGTCTACCGCTACCTCCCGCGACTCTCTGCTGCTCCGCCCCCCACCGCGCCTCCCCCGCCGTCTGCCCCTCACTGGTACCGCTTTGCACCGATCCGCCTGAGGACGACTCTGGTGCGCCGCCGGCACTTCTGAACCCCCCGCCAAAGCCGCCAAAACTCTCCCCGTGTCCCGCGGCGCCTCCCCAAGAAGCACCTGCTGCCGTGTTCCCCGCCGTATTCCCCGCGGTAACCAGCGTATGATTTCTGAGACTATCAGGTCCCGTTTTCGATCGCCGCTGCAGCGGCATTCCGTGCGCCCGCTCCGCCCTCTCCCCCTGATTTCCGCTCCGCCATTGCCCGGCTTCCCCAGTACCCTCCCCCCCCTTCCCCCGCTCGCCGTGCGAAACTGCCATCCCGCCCATGCCCGTGGTATGGCGCCGAACCATGGGCATAGGCTCGGGCACGTCTTCGGGATTCTCCGCCCAACCTGACAGCCCGTCACTGCCCCTCCGCCACCCCTGCCGGCGGTTGACGGCTGGCTGGTTAATGTCGCCGGCGCGGCGCGCAGACGGAGATTTGGGCATACCATGCCGAGCATTAGAGACCCCTCGACCCGGATCGACTCTTATCGCATCGTCGAATCTACCGCTGCCACCAGCACCGCCACCCGCAACGCCGCCAATCCCGCCGCCAGTTCCGCGCGCGTACTCATCGCCGCCAGAACCCCACGCGCCTTCTCCAAGCCCCCCCTCTCCAAAGAGATACTCCGTGAGCTCGTTTTGCTCACCACCGATATTGTCACACTGCCTAGAGTCATCATTTCGATGGCGCACGGAACTCGGCGGGTCTAGTTCCGCGGACGAGGCGGAGATGCCCTTGCGGAGGGCGCGGTTGGCGCGCTCGCGCTTACCGGGGGCGTCGCCGGAAAGGGGAATGTGCTGGTCGCTATAGGGCCGAGCGTCGTTACCAGGCTCGGGTAGTTGCCGGTACCGCTGGTTCAGGGGGTGGTTCGGATAATGGTACGGCGGGTGGTTCGGGAGGGTGGACGAACGTGGAGAGCGGTTTAGAAGTTCGGGAACAGCTTCAGCAGGCGTCGTTGTGGCTACGTACTGACGTGGCGGCATGGAGCGAGACGCGCCGAAACGCGCGCCGCCGTCCTGTGGCTGGGCGTACCAGTCCATGGTGACTAAAAGCGATGTGATAGAAACGGAAAGGGATCAACGCGAAGGAATGAAGCCGAGATAAATAAGTAGGTGAGCCGTTGCGCGTCTTCTAGCGCGGTAATGTCCCGATAGTATGCTAACCCTCCATCGCGTATTGCGAAATACTGATTTCTAGCTAAGCACGCAGACTAGAACGAGGTTCGGCGCGAGGGCTGAAGGCCATATCGCGAGAAGCTGGTATTGTGTCGTAGAACGAGAGACGCAGGCAAACTGTCATTTAATCACCGACGGGCATTAGCTCGGGTAGTACAGCTAAGCGAACCGGACTAGGGTCGTTGTCGCGAACTAACAGCGACTGCTCGCGACATCAGAAGCATACTCGTCACAACTCTTTGAAGAAGGGAAGAAACCTGATGCGACTAAGCCTTTAAATACTATCGTAAATCACCTTCGAAGCGCCTCGTCACTCTAGCAGCATGCCTGACGTCTTGCAAAACTAGAACATGTGCGAAAGTGATACATTTTCTAGGTCATCTTATCCACCCACTTGTCGTCAAATGCCTTTCTGGATTCTGTAGAGCATGTGACGCCACGCCACTAAGAGTCTGTCTGTAATACCAATCAGTAGGTAAGTGAGGCGAGCTGATGAAGCGGCCCGAATGTGACGCAGCGCAGCAGAGACCAGACTGGATGGCTAGAAAAAGGATGGTGTTGTTTGTACAGCCAAGATGGATGATAGCTCGGGCCAAGAGTTGTGCGATGGAGTGGCCGAACGGTGTGAGGGGCAACAAGAGAGGGGGAGAAACAAGCAAAGCAAGCCCAAGGTCCATCGGGATTGGGGGATTCTGGGAACTTGTGGTGGTGATTCGTGATTTGCAATCGGCAAGCCCAAGGGGATATCGCACACTTTCGCCGGATTATTGCTTAGTTCAGTACGGTTAAGTAAGCTTCCACACGGTGAAATCTGGGTGCTCCCCGAAAAGCCGAGTTTCCGAAACGACAAAGCCCAAAACGAGCTGGAAAACACGGGCTATTTACACAAAGGAGGATGCAATTAGCTGGTGCAACTTGCTAGTGCCAGTTAGAGAACGCACACCACACTGTCGTCAAGGCACGACCTGGCTGGACTGTATTTACTGTACATTCGCTGGCGCAGCTGCTGCTGCTGACCTGACTCGGTAAAATTCTTGACCTGTAATTGTCCTGAAAACGCGTGAACACTTTGTTTGCACTGCACCGTTTGATGTTTTTTTTTTTTTTTGTTTTTTTTTTTTTTTTGTCACCGTTTGATGTTGGTTGTCCGTTTGTCCTGTAAATGCCTTCGCCTAGCATTTTCGATGTTGTCACTGGCCGAGTTCTCTGCCGTAGCCGTGTCCACGGGCATTGAACAAACTTCTGAAGGCCTGGCGTGAAAGGGGATGATGCGATGATACTATCGAGCGCGGCTCGTCCAAGAGGTATTTAGGTACAATAACCTTGGTGCAAGAAGTGTAGCAAATTATAGGGCTCTATTAGCCTGACCAAGCCATTTCCACCTGTGATTGACAATAGATTCAATGTAGCCAGATCTGTCACCATTCTGAGCTCTGCATCAACTATGTAAAGTAAATTGACATGGCGTTTGCTCGAGCCATTCTCTGCACAATTCAAGGGGTTGGGTAGCAAACATAGATGTGAAGGCAGCCAAACCACAAGCAAACCACATGCTAACATTAGAACACAATCGAACTTCACCACACAGAAAACGCCATCTGCATGGACGTAATTTGGAGTACGGTGTGTAAAAAGAGGTGGCTGTGGTGGTGCCAACCCACCTAGTGGTTGCAAGAAATGTGTGGACTAGCATTCTTACCAGGTAAAGATATTTGCGATGGTATGTCACTGCCTTCTTGCAGAGCTTCTTTATATTCCAACTGGTAGCTGCAAGGTTGAAATACTGGGACGGGGCAGGAGAGAACGAGAGAGAACAGAAGGGGGGGACAGAGAGTGAGCGGGGTGGGGGGGTAATGGGGAGGTGGGGAGGAGAGGGGAATTGGGGAAGGTTGAGAGGAGCAAGAAAGTTGAGAGGAAGGAAGACACTACGCATGAAATGAAAGATACTTGGTTGATGCAATGCCTGTGCAACTCACATGCCCCAATCTCATACCCTAAGTGCCCCACTCACATGCACAGCGTCGTCCAGCCCTTGAGTGTACTGCACCAGGTCTTCCCTCACCTCCAGCAGGATCGCCAGCATGCATGCTCACCACACATACCCCACTCACATGCACCAACATGCACCAACATGCACCAACATGCACCAACATGCACCAACATGCACCAACATGCACCAACATGCACCAACATGCACCAACATGCACCAACATGCACCAACATGCACCAACATGCACCAACATGCACCAACATGCACCAACATGCACCAACATGCACCAACATGCACCAACATGCACCAACATGCACCAACATGCACCAACATGCACCACATGCACCAACATGCACCAACATGCACCAACATGCACCAACATGCACCAACATGCACCAACATGCACCAACATGCACCAACATGCACCAACATGCACCAACATGCACCAACATGCACCAACATGCACCAACATGCACCAACATGCACCAACATGCACCAACATGCCCAACATGCACCAACATGCACCAACATGCACCAACATGCACCAACATGCCCAACATGCCCAACATGCACCAACATGCACCAACATGCACCAACATGCACCAACATGCACCAACATGCACCAACATGCACCAACATGCACCAACATGCACCAACATGCACCAACATGCACCAACATGCACCAACATGCACCAACATGCACCAACATGCACCAACATGCACCAACATGCCCAACATGCCCAACATGCCCAACATGCACCAACATGCACCAACATGCACCAACATGCACCAACATGCCCAACATGCCCAACATGCACCAACATGCACCAACATGCACCAACATGCACCAACATGCACCAACATGCACCAACATGCACCAACATGCACCAACATGCACCAACATGCACCAACATGCACCAACATGCACCAACATGCACCAACATGCACCAACATGCACCAACATGCACCAACATGCACCAACATGCACCAACATGCACCAACATGCACCAACATGCACCAACATGCACCAACATGCACAACATGCACCAACATGCACCAACATGCACCAACATGCACCAACATGCACCAACATGCACCAACATGCACCAACATGCACCAACATGCACCAACATGCACCAACATGCACCAACATGCACCAACATGCACCAACATGCACCAACATGCACCAACATGCACCAACATGCACCAACATGCACCAACATGCACCAACATGCACCAACATGCACCAACATGCACCAACATGCACCAACATGCACCAACATGCACCAACATGCACCAACATGCACCAACATGCACCAACATGCACCAACATGCACCAACATGCACCAACATGCACCAACATGCACCAACATGCACCAACATGCACCAACATGCACCAACATGCACCAACATGCACCAACATGCACCAACATGCACCAACATGCACCAACATGCACCAACATGCACCAACATGCACCAACATGCACCAACATGCACCAACATGCACCAACATGCACCAACATGCACCAACATGCACCAACATGCACCAACATGCACCAACATGCACCAACATGCACCAACATGCACCAACATGCACCAACATGCACCAACATGCACCAACATGCACCAACATGCCACCAACATGCACCAACATGCACCAACATGCACCAACATCCACTGCACCCAACATGCACCAACATGCACCAACATGCACCAACATGCACCAACATGCACCAACATGCACCAACATGCACCAACATGCACCAACATGCACCAACATGCACCAACATGCACCAACATGCCCACAATGCCCAACATGCACCAACATGCACCAACATGCACCAACATGCACCAACATGCACCAACATGCACCAACATGCACCAACATGCACCAACATGCACCAACATGCCCAACATGCACCAACATGCACCAACATGCACCAACATGCACCAACATGCCCAACATGCCACCAACATGCACCAAACATGCACCAACATGCACCAACATGCACCAACATGCACCAACATGCACCAACATGCACCAACAATGCACCAACATGCACCAACATGCACCAACATGCACCAACATGCACCAACATGCACCAACATGCACCAACATGCCCCAACATGCACCAACATGCACCAACATGCACCAACATGCACCAACATGCACCAACATGCACCAACATGCACCAACATGCACCAACATGCACCAACATGCACCAACATGCACCAACATGCACCAACATGCACCAACATGCACCAACATGCACCAACATGCACCAACATGCACCAACATGCACCAACATGCACCAACATGCACCAACATGCACCAACATGCACCAACATGCACCAACATGCACCAACATGCACCAACATGCACCAACATGCACCAACATGCACCAACATGCACCAACATGCACCAACATGCACCAACATGCACCAACATGCACCAACATGCACCAACATGCACCAACATGCACCAACATGCACCAACATGCACCAACATGCACCAACATGCACCAACATGCACCAACATGCACCAACATGCACCAACATGCACCAACATGCACCAACATGCACCAACATGCACCAACATGCACCAACATGCACCAACATGCACCAACATGCACCCAACATGCACCAACATGCACCAACATGCACCAACATGCACCAACATGCACCAACATGCAACCAACATGCACCAACATGCACCAACATGCACCACAATGCCCACATGCACCAACATCGCACCAACATGCACCAACATGCACCAACATGCACCAACATGCACCAACATGCACCAACATGCACCAACATGCACCAACATGCACCAACATGCACCAACATGCACCCAACATGCACCAACATGCAC